CCAAGGAAAGTATATTAACTCTTCTTTTTCTTATTCCTTCTTGTTTTCTTCCTTTAATTGTCCTATTACCACTAATCATTTAACTTATTTCTACTTATTTTTACACTAAAAATTCAAAATCACTCTACAACGATATCATTTGTCTGAATACTAATATAATATAGTATAATAGGAGTTTCAACAATTCAATCATTTGTCTGGGTAATTTTTATATAAAAAACTTATAATATAACGTAATAGGTATTTTAATAGTCCAATAAAAAAAAAACTTGATTGTAATAAACAGTAACAGAGTTTAGAATTTTTAACTACTAAGAAGTAAGAAAGAGTGTGACAATATTTCTACAATTGTCATTGAATAGAAGTTAAGGTTTCATGATGATAATTTGTTTTTGTTTTTAATAAAAAAAAAAGAAATGTTATTAGTATCTTGATAATTGTGCTAGCTAGCATCATTAAAGCAATCATTATCAAGATATTAGCAAAATCAGCACTTTAATTTAGACTTAGTAGGGGTAGCTAGAGCTGGAAAATATGTTAAATGGTGATAAACATGTACAGTTTATTACTAGCTACTTGTATATATGTATATGTAGAAATGAAATGACCCTACCATGATATGATTTCCATAAATTAAAAAGAAATAATTTAGTGCTTAAATAAGTTAACAAAGAAATTTGTCTTAATTGTACTTTTTAGTAATTTAAGCTAGATGCTGAGCTGTAAAGAGTAGCTTAAGAATATAATTTGCTGACTAATAAATACAAAGTAATTGCAAAAGAAAACATATGTGATGTTGGGGTTCCTAAGATAATGGAAATTGGAAAGAACCAAATTGAAATAAGTTTTAAATAAATATAAAGGAAAAAAAGAAACAAAGGGTAAAAGATATATTTAAACATAGTGGATTAACAAAATGATTAGAGTCTGTTTGATATGAATGAAAATATTTTGCGTGAAAAATTAAATAAGAGGTTTTCTTACTTTTTAATATTTGATATAAGCGAAAAAATATATTTATCTTCGATTTTGAAGGCATGTGTCATTCTAATAGGATTTACTGTTATTGAATTTGTTATAGGTGAGACTAGTGATTATGAATATCCGATTAGTTAAATGATCTTCAACTTTCTGCCGTTCACAATATCTCTTGCTTGTCACGACAATAACTCCTTTTTACGTTCTCCTTCGGTGATTATCAACTTATTTATGACTAATTCTAGAGCATTTTGTATAATTTAAACAAATACTACATGAATTGAAATGAAAAGTAATCTAATAATATATCATTTGATGTCTTCTACCATTTTCTTGATATAACATACGACTAAATTACATGAACTTCTTACTTTTGAAATTGTATCTGATAAACAAATTTTGGAGAATTCATTAATACACATCTATTTAAGTGTTCTTAGAGAAATTAAGCAGGATAGATTAGATAAGGGAGAGTTCGCATTGAAGTAGTCATATTTTTGTTGACATGTCTGCTTCAGCGTGTTTCAAAAGAATGTTTCTCTGGTTTTACTTTAATTTAGTCATTGTATTTTTTGAAATTATGAAATCTGTTTTAGCTCTAACTTTTAGCGTGTCTCGAATTTCTTTTAAGAAAAAAGTTACTTCTTTTGTTCTGCTTTGACCCGTTTGACCATAGATTTCTCAAGTAATATTTGGGAAAAAAATTGACAAATAATGTTTATCCATACAATCTGTCATTATTTAGCAAATATCCAAATACTATTTTTTTCTAGTAGTTGGGTCAAATCTCATTATTTGAAATCTTTTAAAAATTGAAATTCTACATCAAACTTTTATCCTTTACAGAACACCTTCTATAATAGTTATTTGCGTTGTATTACATAATTTTTTACGTGAACACCAAAGTAGTGATGAAATATTCAATGAATATGAAAGTAATGACATGGTTATTGTTGAACAATCGGCTCAGGTAACAAAGTCATGTGTTTTGTCTACTTCACGATGTGTGAAGTGATGTTTGTTGCAGTCAATCCAAACTACCACATTGCTCGAGTTCCATGGACACTAGTTGTTATTCGTTGCAACGAAAATCCAATTGACTTTTAATATAAACTTATGATTAGTTTTGATAGTTTTTAAAATTTATGGATATAAATTATATTTCTCTAATAAATTAAAATATGTTTCCCAAATACTGTAGAAAGACATATGGTGAAATTTCGCCCAATGAATTTGCCAAGAATATTTGAAAATTTATAACCAAACGCTAGCTAGTTTAATTAGTGTATAATTTTTTCAAAAATATGAAATCCGTTTTTAGCTATGACATTTCGTTTTAAAATCATGTTCTTTAGTTATTGCTTTACTATTATGAATATCATGTAAAATTTGTTTATATCTTGTAACTATTTTGAGTAATTAATCAACTATCAATGACAAAAAAAAACTTTTAACTATGGTAAGTAATAAAAGCTTAATCAACTTCAACTTGAAGAAAATACGACAGTTGCCTTTTAGCCTACGTTATGTGTGATACTAATCATAATATTTGTTAATCTTATTAATAATACATAACCATTAACCAACACTGCTACTGCTAATAATGCTCATGAGTGATAATATTATACACATCCACTCTCAGCTCCAGTCTTTCTCATCACTCCATAATAGTTGTGAAGTGGTGTTTCACACTTTCTTTTAGTTGACTTAACTTCTCCACTCGAAATCCGTGAGATATTCAAAAGGGAACCCGTAGATCGAGTGTATTTTGCCTCTACTGAGTTTTAAACCTGAGTTCTCAACCACTTCATTGATCCTTAGGTCACACTCTTGGGTGCAAATTTCAAAGACTTGCATATATGAGAAAGTACTATCATTTCTAGCTAGGGGCGGACTCACATGTAAAGGTGGGGGTGCACGTGCACCCGTTCAAAAAAATCATGTGTATATATATTTATCTTGAGAAACGGATAGAAAAAGGAATATAATAAAAAGTGCACCCATAATGAACATTCAATTGCTCTTGGTCTGTTGGTAGAAGTGAGGAAATACCTCCTTGCAGACCCAGGTTTGATCCTGGTCAACAACACTAATGCACCCAGACTCTTCAAATCCTGGGAGCGCCTCTGATCGTAGCCTCGGTATGCAAGATTCCAGATCCCAAACTAGTTTGTGATTGATGAATAAGGTTTCAAAATGGAAAATTTCATGTTTAAATGAAAAATAAGCACAAGATTGATTTCTAGTAAATTTCTATTATGAACCACTTGCTTAGAATATGACATCAAAGTCTTTTGAGAAGGAAATAGCTCACAGTTTGTTTATTTTTGGATAACAGCGTTGCTCGGACCAGCAACTGCAATCCCTGCATCAGGTACTTGTTACCTCCTACCAAGACAGATATAGTATCTGGTACAGCGCTACCAAAACATATACAAGCACGAAGAAATTCACCGAGTGTATTTTTGTCTAAATTTGAACCTTGGACTTCAAGGTTTTCACCCACTTTATTGACTACTAGGCCAAGGATGCCAAGAGAACAACTCACAATATTCTGACTGATAAAATAATCTAACTTACCTCATCACAAAAGCCTTGACCGAGAAGTCCCAAATCTGCGGAAGAAGTTGCTGTACTATCACAATCTGTTTGCAATAAGCTCCAGCATCGGTTCAAAACTACTAGCAACTATCATATGTGTTGCATGGTACTATGTTAACGGAAATAAATACAACAATAAAACCAATAAATTGGAGAACACATAGGAAGGAATAGAACTTCTACAACTAATTGAAACTCAGATACCTCATGAATAAACTCAATTAAATTGAAGCCCTTTTTCTTAATTAAAATAAATACAAACTAAGTTTGATCACTCTGAGGGGGACTTTTTCTGCGATAAACTCATGATCTCCTGCTTTGAAGAATTCATGATTCATATATGTTTTACCATCTCTTTCCAAACTACAATTTATCCAGATCTTGAAAGTTTCAGATACCATTTCATTCTTTCTCTGCTTTCATTTTCCTTTTTCTAAACAGAATTAACGGCGAAGCTAGACAAGAAGCAACCCCGTCAAAAATAAAAGAGCAAGAAGAAATAAAAATAGAGTTCAAACTTTAGCATTACAGCATGTACAATATTCTTTAACTGATAGGAAGAAAAACATACATACCTTTCTCAGATGCCAAATTGTGAATGTTCAAGAGAAATGTCCCAATCATTAGAAGTTAAACATGAATTCCCCAGGAACAGATGTATATAGAAATGTTCAGAAAATGCATGTTCTGGTTGAGATGGATGTGTAGGCATACTAGGAGCGACAAGATCAGGAATGAGGTTTACGGGAAAAGGTGGCAGTGGTCTGCAGACAATATGATAGAAGCAAGACTGAGATGATTTGAGCATGTGCCATGAAAGTGCATTTACGCACCAGTGAGGAGGTGCGAGCGGCTAGTTGTAGGGAGTATCCAGAGGGGGAGGTAGGCCGAAGAAGTATTGCGAAGAGGTAATTAGAGAGGACATGACAACTTTATATTACCCAGGCCATGACTCTAGATAGGAAGGAGTGGAGGTCGCATATTATGGTAGAAGGTTAGTAGGGGTGAAGTTGTGTATTGTCGTGCGTAGGTATAGGCTTGTTAGTGTTTATCGTGGTGCTAATCATACCCTTGAAGTTCTTGTCTTATGTCGTGTATTTTGTTTCGATTATCACACTATTATTTTGTTGTTGTTTTTTTCTTTTAGACTTAACACTATTTTTCTTATTAACGGTTATGCTTTCTTCATTATTTTGTTCTTCGTTTACTTGGGTTTGATACACTTGAGCCAATAGTCTTTCGGAAACAACCTCTCTACCTCCTCGAGGTAGGTCTACGTACACTCTACCTCCCAGACCCCACTTAGTGGGATTTCCCTGGGTATTTAGTTGTTGTTGTCACCTTGAGGAAGGTGAACTTAGTCCATTGAGCTGGCAGAAGGGTAGAAAAAAAAACAATTGCAAGTTTTTTCATGTTCAAGAGAGGAAATGGGAACAAAAATAGGCAAATAAACTTCAGACAGTTAATTGTTAGTACAACAAAGTGATTCAGGTAAATTGTAATATCACTTTAAGTATAATTCTCCCAGGGAAAACCACTGGTGACAATTTTAGTGAAGTTTAATCTTGGAATATCCAGCAACACAAATGCAAGGTGATGCTATTGTTTGAAACTTGTCTCTTATTGCACAAAGTGAAAACCCGAACAAACGCAAGAAACAAAAGAGGCAATGCAGAAGTATTGCCTTACAATCATAATTGGAAGGCCGTGACAGTTGACAACTTCTTTGACAGCAGTAAACATAGAGGAACTGTTATGTTGAAGGAGTGGAAGACAATAAAATGGAGCAATGTCAGACACCATCTTTAACATCACCAAGATGAGATGCCAAAGAGACCCTTCGAGCAGGAACAGATTGAAATTTGCCAAAGCTGAAAGGCAAACGAGACAAAGTGATTCTGGGGCAATTATCGCTAACTTTATCATAATGTATTGTGTAATTTGAGCTGCTTATGTTCCTGGAGTAGCAGAATGAATCATCCTTATATTTATAGACTTGTTGGGTACTCCCGATCCCACTGACAACCAATTGCCCCTTTACAAGAATATGTCCCTGTGCTTTTTGCATGTTTTCAGTAGAGCTGGCTGACGATACGTTCTTGGAAGTCTTTATCCTATTATCATCAAATCCCAACGTAACATTTGAGATTGAGGCATAGCTTTCATCTCCTTTGTCTACATTGTCAGAATGCAAGAGAAGCAGAAACTTTTTGAAGGACTTACGAGACTGAACATATGAAGTTGGCCTCACGACATCAACAGTTTCATTGAAATAAATAATCTGATCCACATTTTGCAAATTTCCTCCGTTACCCTCCACCATATAATTACTATAACTTAAAACTTGAGCTGACTTAGTAGTGATGTTCCCGTAGGATGACTTAACCCATCCTGTCAATGTGATTGATCTACTAGCATTTGTGACGAAAGATCCATCAATGCCTGTAAAATTTGTCCTAAGAGAAAACGAAAGAGGCAGACTAGTATACTTCAATAACTTCCCTTCTGTCTTTATACTCTTATCATCCAACCAAAGATGCAAATTTGCATCAATGTACCACACATTAAGAGCATTAGTGACACTGAATGAAATCTTATGCATATTTCCGTCTAAAATCTTCCCTATAAATGGCGTTATTTCAATATCATATGATGGAAGATCAAACGATCCGATCCCGCTTATAGGTCTCCACAAGAGAGGATTGACACCCCCGGTATAGATCACCGTGAACGGCCAAACTACACCAACCACCACATCATCCACACTAACTACTACTTCCCTAAAAGCTCCATTCCCTGGTGTATCAGTAAGGTTATTTGCACGAATATAATCGTTCGGTGGATTACTATACCAAAACTCATCATTCTCATGAAAGGAAACATAAACTTCCAGTACAGCCCTATAAGCATTTTGTGGAATTTCAAACTCTTTTGACTGAACATCTGTAGAATTCTCAACCTCAAACCACAATCCATCATTCAACGGCATGTTCCTCGAAATAGGTAAGATCAAATCAGCCCTAGAATCAAATGCCTCGTACGAATTTCGCTTATACATTTCTTCAGCAGGATAAAAATGAATAAAGAGTTCCACATGATATACACCAGTGTAAGTACTATCAACTAAATTCCCCATATAAACAGCAAAAATTTGATTTTTCATCATAAGCAAAGAGTAATACCTTGTAATATCCTTCTTGACAGTCCAAACAATTCCATTAGCCCTTGGTTCAGCAGTGCAGCTTCTGAAAATCTCAACCCCACTAAGCCAAACCCCAAAAATTCTATCAAATTGCCTTCCTTCACAAGTTGATTTCCATTCCAAAACAATCTTGGAAAATTTCTGAGATGGGCAACTAAAAGGGGGTGTGTAGTTTGCAAGAAAAGGGGGTTTTCCATATGTGTAACCAAAGTCATGTTTAAGGACTAAATATGAACAAGGATTGGTTTTGGGGAGATTTATAGGTTTGGTTACTTCAAAATAGGTTGTTGGGGTTGCATTATTGTTCTTGGAAGAAGAGTCTAGCTGGGTAATGAGCTGTGATTTAAACAGAGAGGTACCATGGAGAGTTGCTATGGAAAAGAGTGGTTTTTGGAGCAGAGTGAAAAAAATCAAGAAGAGGAAGAAGAATGCCATTAATGGTTTTGGTTTGTAACCATGTTGGTATGGTTTGATCAAGGGGTTGATATAGTGTAGATGGACACCCCCTAGGAGTAGCACAAAAAGAGGGATTAGCATTATTGACCCAATGATAAAGCACTAACACCTTCCTCGTTGGGGCTCCGCGCACTGGGAAAAGGCTGACGCGACGGGAAACCGGCCACTAGTTACAAAGCTAGCAACGTTTTTCAGCAGCAAGCTACGGTCTAACGACCCCCTAACCTAGTCAGTATTCCAAGAAATGCTGGCTTTTTCGATTGCCCCCGATGCACGAGGACTAGCTCACCAGTAAAGGAGAGGGGCGGACTAACTTGACCGGTAGAAGGTGAGAATAGTCAATGAATCGGAAGAGGAATGTTGATCGCCTTAGTTTTGGGGGTGGAAGGCAAAAGAAAACGTAGGGGAGGGATAGAATCACTACACTATCACGGCCAACTATACCAACTCCTTAATGTAAGGATATGGTTCGGAGAGCACTTGTTGGGTGAAATATTTTTTGGTTGCTAAATGTTACGGCCTAAATGCTGAACTATTGACCCTACTTGTTCGGATGGGTGTTCTGCTGCTTTGGTGAGTTTAGTGATCATGGCTGGCTCACCTGATCTATCAGCTGAGTAGGCACGGAGTTAGCCGGGGCTTCTTCCTCGAGTCCTGTCATGATCGCGCACTCGACGAAAGAGCTTTACAAGCGGCATTGCCCTTCTTCACTCACGCGATATTGCTGGATCGGGCTTTCGCCCTGTTCTATTGGAAGAGAGATGAGATTCCTTCGGGACAGACTCCATTCCGAATATCATCATGACTCTCGAAGTCATGTGCGGTAGCAATACCAAACCAAATACGACGAGTAGTGGGGTCCTGAGCTAAGCCTTGGCTAAACCTTGGAAATCGTAATGCCATAATGCTTTTCAAATCCTCCTAGCCTAACCCGTTCTGGTTGTTATGACTGGCAAGAATCGGTAGGTTCTTTCAGTTTGAAATTCACAAACACACTTAAGGTTCTATTATTTCAAATTTATTTTATAAATAATTTTCTATACATTTTTGATCTATGTGACATTATCTTTTGAGCCCAGTTGATAGTTTTTCAATAATAGTGTTACGTAAATTAAAAAGAGATTTATAAAATAAATTTGGAGATAATAGAATATTATTATAGTATAAATGTATCTATGAAATTTCGGACATAGATTAGGGCTGCTGTGTATTTTTCCTTTAAACTTTGAATGACTACTTTGATTTTATTGTTTTTTATCATTATATAATATATAAATTTATTATTTGGATGATAATTCTACGAGAAAGATAATTGGGTAGAGCTTTTATAAGAGAGTACATAAAATATAAGATAGAATTATTAAATAAAAAATAAATATAAAATGAGAAGAAAATATTAAGATTAGAAAAGCAATTGAGGATGGTACTTGAAAGGTAGATGCATAGATGACGTCCAATGTGATCATATTAAATCAATCGTTACATAATGCGAATTTTTTTTATAATAATAAATTTAAACGATACAATAAAATTAACTAATAATAGAAATAAACATAATATTTAAATTAATATTATTTAATTGTTTAACTGAATTATCATCATTTTTAAGACACGAAAAAAGGGGGTATTTGATAGTTGAGGTGCATATAGACTGAAGTTATGTGAGGAATTTGGTCTGAGCGGTGAAGTATCTCATCGGCGGCGGCTCTATTGAACGGTGAACGGCGTATGACAAATCCTCTGTTTCGAGGTTTTCGAAGACTTGCCTTACTTTCACTTAGCAAGCCTCTCTTCTCTTCTTCTACCTTTTCTAGGTAAAGCTTAAATTTTTTTTCAAAATTTCTCTACAATTTCCTTTTAAGTTAGTTTTGGTTATGCTTAATAGGTATTTGGAATCATGATTTCGAATCAGCATTTGAACATGAGATATGAAATTATTAGATCAAATGAGCATTTGCATATCAGGATATGTTATGTGGATTGTGGAATCACTATTCTAAATCAGTCTTTCGATATACATCATGACTTCAAGTTTTAAAAAAGATATGATTTGATAAGTTTATGTTTTGTATAAAAGATTCAACATTTTGAATTTTGCAAAAAAAGATTCATGATGTGGTGCTTTTGGATATTTTGGTATTTAGTTAGTGAATTATGATTTGATCATTAGGTAAGCTTGTATAGGAATTGGAAAAATATTGATAGTTTACAGTTCGTAGATTTTTCGTGTTTATGAGAAAAATACAACTTAAGCAATCTAATTGCATTGCTTGTACAAACAGAACTTCAATTTTAAATTAATCTAACTTATGTCGCGTGCGAACAGGCACTTAAGTTTGTCCAATTTAGTTAGACCAATTCTTGGAAATCCAGAAAAGTTTTTGAACTTGTCAAGGTTAGTGCTTAAGGAGAGGTTAATCCAACAAAACCCCTGTTGGGAATCAAGGAACTTTAGTCATGGAAGATTGGATTTTGTGATGACAAGAGATGGGAAACTAAAGTTTGAGGAACATGAAGTGGAGGCACCAAAGTCGGAGAAATGGAAGACAAAGAAGAAGCTGAAGCTGCAAAGGAAGAGGGAGAAGAAGAAGAGAAAAGCTGCCAACAAGAGAGATCCGAGAAGACTTGGTGTTCAGGGGAAGAAGAAGAAGCAGAAATTTGACACTGCTGAAGAAAGAATCAAACAGAAGATTGAAAATGTGAGATAAAGATTTTTCTTTTTCACTTTTAGGAGCCTATGATTGTTTTTTTTTTTTTTTTGCCCAATAATGCTACTGCTGCTACTGTTATTTTCTCCATTATTCTATATGCGGTTACCTTGGTCGAGGGTCCTTCCGAAACAACCTCTCTACCTACCTTCAGTTAGGGAGATAGGAGTAAGGTTGCATACACACCACCCTCCCTAGACTCTACTAATGGGACTACAACTAAGGATTCATAGTGCCACCCCTAACTTGTTTGAGATTGAAAACAAATACCACCGCAGCTACTGAAACTATGTCTCAGCCCGAATTATTTGGTCTCGACTGTATCATTTCTCAAAATCCATCCCGTTCCGTCTGAACCTGTATGATTGTTATCATTATATTAGCTTAATAATCTGCAATAATATTAAGATGAACTGAATTGAAGCGCTTGGGAGTGAGCTTCAACCTGTTTTCTTCAGTTTGGTTGACAATAAATTAGAAGGAAGCCGGATGAAAATGACAAATTAGACGTATTGATGTGTTCTCTGTTGTTATTGTTAAATTTATTGAGGAACCTTTTATATTACCATTTCTCATTTGGTACTTGGAAATTAAAGTAAGATTAGAGAAGCATCATTGATCCTGCCTTTGTCTTTTTCCTTCTCTTCTTGGCTGTGGTTGTTGGAGCTTAATCTTAGTAGTTATTGCAAAAAAGATCCATCTTGTCTACGATTTCTGTCTTGCAAGACTGGAGAAAAAAAAGAGCCTTTGTGCTTCCGAATTACTTTAAATTTTTGTGTCATCTACTTTAAACCAAGTTACAACAAGTCCTGTATGCGTGGTTACTGCCTCACTGAGACATTGATGCCATTTCGTAGTTAATTTTGTGGCTATCTTAACCTTTTCCTGGTTTAGGGGTGTGAAGCATGTAGTATGGTCTCCCTATATTTATATTTGTAGAAGCTAAGATTTGTTTTGTTTGCATTTTCCATTTACTGCTATACAAAACCTAATGTACTTTTTTATTTCAACAAAAGCTGATATGTGTTGGCTTTGGGTCAGGCAAAAGTCAAAGAAGCTATGCTAATTGAGAGACTAAAGAGATATGAGGTTACCAAAGTTCAAGGTCCCGAGGTTAAGCCACATTTTCTCACTGGTGAAGAACGATTCTATATTAAAAAGATGGCACAAAAAAAGTCTAATTATGTGCCTATTGGCAAAAGGGGAGTCTTTGGAGGTGTTATTCTTAATATGCATCTACATTGGAAAAGACATGAAACTGTCAAAGTCATATGCAAACCCTGCAAACCTGGTCAGATTCAAGAATATGTTGATGAAATTGCAAGACTGAGTGGTGGCATTCCGATTCAGATAATTGCAAATGATACCATCGTTTTTTACCGAGGAAGGGAATATGTGCAGCCTGAAATTATGTATCCTATTGATACACTGTCGAAGAAGAGGGTAAGTTTGTTAGAGCTAATTTTCTATAATAACCAAGTCATTGCTTCTCATCATGCATTCATGCAAAATTCACTTTGTAAAGTCTCAATGTGTATAGCCCTTCTACCATAAACTTCTACTCATCGACACCAACTTCCACAATCATTCTTCTGCGGTTGACGCGCTACTTAGTCTATTTGCGTGGGTCCTACATTTTCTCAATTGACTTGTGCCAAAGATGTATGACATAGGTGTGTGTAGTTCTATGGATAATTTTATTCCTAATATTATCAAAAACTGCATGTACCGATATATGCACATTTTACCCCTATTGTAGCCGAATCCATGTTATGCAACGTATTGTTGACCTGGCTCATAGATGTAGTTAAGTTAATTATTAGGGTAGATCATCTGAAATCCACCTTAACAACCACTCTCCTACCGTTTTGTGACTTGTATTGTTGATTTGGCTCATAGATGTGGCTCAGTTGATAATTAGAGTAGATCATCTGAAATCCACCTCAACAACCACTCCCCTAAGTACCCAAAAGTGTGGCCTAGTGCTTAGTGGTCAATGAAAGTGGGTTGAGAACGATGAGGTCTCAAGTTCAAATCCTAGCATAGACAAAAACACTAGGTGATTTCTTCTCATCTGATCTAGCCTTGGTGGACGGAGTTACTTGATACTTGTTGCTGGTGGAAGGTGAAGTTAGTCGAGGTGCGTGAAAGCTGGCCCAGACACCACAATTATCTAAATAAAAACACTCTACTACCCTCTTGTGGCTTGTGTAATTCGCTCTACCTCACAAAAGAACAAGACCTTTCGTTGCACCTTATATACCCCATTGCACTTTGCAGTTTCGTCTTTTTCCATCGACCTTCTTTACTGCTTCAATCGTCAACATTATAGGAAAAAGATCTGTTGGTTTTTGCGATATGTTTGCACTATTTTAACCATCGATGGCTGTTTAGTTCGAAACTGAAACTAAATGTTATCAGCTTTTCATCATCATTCTTAGGAATATATACCAAAATGTCGTTTATTTCACTTGGAAAGATAACAAAGTATCTATCACTTTGTATTCAACAAAACATAGTAACGATCTTCCTTTTGCAAATGCTTTTGGATATTTAACTTACGATTTTTTCCCTCACAGACCTTTGGTAGTCTCATACGTGTTTCATGCTACTTTTTTTTGGAATCAGTTCACTGCACTGAAGGATTTGACTTGTAATACTGTTTGATTCTGTCATATTTACCTATATCTCTGTTTTATCTACTTCTGCATCAACCATGGTATGAATTACTAATCAAATTCTCTTTCTTCAGGCGTTGGAAAAATCAAAATACGAGCAATCGCTAGAGTCTGTGAGACATTTCATTGCCATTGCTGAGAAGGAACTTGCACTCTACTATAGACATGTTGCCCTATATGATGAACCAAATATTCAGAGTGCTTACTCCATCCTTGATGATTCAACAAGTACAAGTGAAAAACGAAATGATGAAATAGGAGAGGAGAACTATTCAGCAGACGAATCTATTTCCTTGGATCTCGAGTTACCACAAGTTGATGATTATTGCTCGGATGATAAACAATCTTTAAGCGAATTTGGATTTGAGGATACTGATGAATCAAGTAGTGATGAGTTGGATTCTGGGGAGGAGGAAACTAGTAATTACTGCGGTAGCATATGGGGAAATTATTGAATGTTGAGACTTGAAATAATGTGGTTTTAATTCTTGATCTGATAAATTGAGGGATTGGAATAGAATAGAATTTTTTCAAATTCTAAATCTTCTGTTTGGTTATCCTGAAATTGGCACAAAAACTAGAACTTGATTTTTAATTTTTTAACCCAAGATAGATCATATTTCTTATGTCAATATTTCTATTTTCAGATGTTGCCTACTCCTTCTGTTCTTAGTTACTTGTCCATATATTTTTTTTAGCTGTTCTTATTTCCTAACTCCTCCTCGGGTAATTCTCAATGTTTAGCATCCTATCTTATTGATTCTTCTTTTCCCTCATCGCGAGCTCTCGCTTCCACGATGAATACTCCAAAAATTCACTATAAAATTGACATACCATAATCCATAAAGAACGTGAATTCTATCTCTACCATGAAAAAAAATCTAATGAATCAATATTTTATCTCAAGAAACTTACACATTCTTCAGTTATACAAGTACTTCTCATTTTTAAAACCCTATAAAATCTTAAACAATTAATTCAACAACTGAACCAATAATTAGTTAAATTAATATTTTAATTCTATAATTATCTAAACTCTATATTTGTCAACCCTAAGGACTATTTTGGTCATTTTCCCCTATATTAGCCTTTATTTCTTTCTTCTTCACGCAAATATTGCAATCTGCAATCAGTAAAGCAGTGATAAGGAGATATTTTTCAAAAAAAAAAAAGATGGCCGGATTGTCACAAGATTGGGAGCCGGTGGTGATTCGCAAGAAAGCGCCGACCGCCGCCGCACGGAAAGATGAGAAAGCAGTCAACGCCGCCCGTCGAGCCGGTGCCGAAATCGAAACCGTCAGAAAAGGTTCATATACAACATGCTCTAATCTTCTTATCTCAGTTTTATTGATTTTCTGAGTAGCTTTTTACGATGAGTTATACTGTATCTGCTCCTTTTTTTTTCATTCCCGATCGGCTTTGCTTGGTACGAATTAGGGCTTTTAATTTTCCGGTCAGTTTAACGGCCAATTTCCCCTTTATCTATGGTTTCCTGTTTACATATAGCTAATTTCATTTCATGCTCAAATTGAATAACTCAACTCCTAATAAAACACTTCTGAATAAAAAATATTTGAATTATTTTTTTTGCACATTAAATTAACTGATTAAAATATACTCACAGCCTCAAGTAGAAAATGTATGTGGTTTTATAGATGTGTATAATCAAGGAAGAAACATATTTTATGTGGTTAGGAAGTTATTAATACACGATTGAGAACACACTGCGAGGCGAGGCGCGAAAGGTTGCTTCATTTAGTAAGATAAGGCAAGATGCAAGGGTGTAGTAGCTGCGCGGAAGCTGTTGCGCCCTTAGTTAATAGCAAAACTTACTCTTCCTGGTTTTGGTTTTATGACGAATAGAAAGTTCAATGTGCAATAGATTTCCTTATTTATAACTTAACTGCTTTTTGTGGTTCGGTCGTTCGGAGTTGCCTGTTAGTATCCTAAAGTCCTATATGAGGAGCATCTTGTATATAGTCTTCTACCAATGAAGCCAAATTCCCCCTTCGTTTTTCTTCTCTATTTTATATTACGAAAGGGAGGCTCCATGTTACTTTTATGTGCATTTTTCTTTTCTGCTTTGTTTGCCAAGAGAGACTAGTAATCTGAATTTTATATTGGTAAAGAGGTCCGGAGTGATATGCACGTCGCTTTGTCATTGCATGTTGATTTCTCTTGATATAACTCAAGTTGGGCAGTCTGGATCGGGAAGGAAATGACTTGTTAATGTTGAAATGGGCCTACTTTTATGTAGAATGATAGTATCTCTTTATCTGGGTTAATACCAATCCTTTTGACATTTCATGAATATTTTTGTCGTAGTTTATATATATTACAGTTTCATATGTTCCATGTTTTGCCAATTGCTAGATGGTGTGAAACTTCATTTTTGGTGTGATATTTTTTTGTTGACATCGATCCTTTAGTTGTGAAAATGAGCAAAATGTTTTACGCTCATGATATCTATTTTCTGAATGCAGCTACTGCTGGGTCAAACAAGGCTGCCTCTAGTAGCACAACGTTGAACACGAGAAAGCTGGATGAAGATACTGAGAATCTGTCACGTAAGTTTGAGTTGACGTTATAACTGAAAGAGAATCTGTCACGTAAGTTTGAGTTGACATTATAACTAGAAACACTTCTATAGAAACAATGTGTTTATAGAGCGTTTCTGTGCTCTGACCTGTTATACACCGTGATTTGAACTGTGCGCCACTAGCTCTAGGAATTTCTCGGTGATCAAAAGAAGAAGAGCACTTTTTTTCTCTGTGAGTCCAAGTCATGCTTACATCCCAACTTGACAAAGCGTCCTTTTAACGGTTTCTCCATCAGGCAAATACCAATAGGTTTGCCACTGGAAAAAACCCCCAGATGTTTTATCTTTTGCTGATGACATTGGGTGTTAATATCTGTTTTTTGTTCTCAGATCAAAAGGTACCTACTGAACTGAAGAAAGCGATTATGCAAGCTCGACAGGATAAGAAGCTTACTCAGTCTCAACTTGCCCAAGTAACTCTCTCTCTCTCTCTCTCTTACGCGCTTATCTTTTTTGTTATAAATATAGCAATCTACATATAGATAGATTCAAGAGAAAGGCTTAATTCATTGTATCGATATAATTTTGGTAATCCCTTTGTTGCGCAGTTGATAAACGAAAAACCACAGATCATTCAAGAGTATGAATCTGGAAAGGCAATTCCAAACCAACAGATAATTTCTAAACTGGAGAGAGCTCTTGGTGCGAAACTTCGTGGAAAGAAATAAACTGCAAAAGTGATGGTGGTGGTGGTGGGGTGTGTGTGTGTGTGTGAACCTTTTGAACGTCTACATCGTTTGGGTTCTAAGTGTGGTCATGTACATGAGCCTTTTGAATGTTTTCTTTAGCCAGTAAGGTGGTTCTTGTGTCTGGATTCGGGACGTTACTTTCGTTGTTAAAACTGAATGTTTTTCCTGTCGAAAATGGATGTGCTTGCTCTTGCTAGATGTTTAAGGATTGCAATTAGGACAATTCAGCAAATTTGATTATCCAGACATCTTAATCTTAATGAACATGATTGTTCACAAGATATAAAGTTTATTTTGCCATACCAACGTCCTTTGCATTTAGGAATTGTTAAGTTACTAATTCAGATTAAAAGATGAGAATTGGTTAATGACCTTAAAATAGATCAGTTACATTATGTAATTGTATTTCTTTTTGTTGTATTATCTTGGAGGTAAGGAATTTAGCAGATGGTATTCTTAAAATATCTTGCAGCTGAGTTATTATTATGAAATGTTTATTTATGGATGGGATAAGTTTTACTTTTATTATTAGTTTTAATTTGTGATCTTCTAATAAATGACTTTTTTCTTTTTTTTAGAAAAAACAGAACTAATACTCTGCTTATTGATTTAGTCAAATTCAATCGATTTTATTTATAGTTGTTTGTATTAATAAATTTAATTATACCGTCAATAGCTTTGCAGTCCATCATTTATGGATATTTTGTCTCGGCAGTTTTTTTATTGGTATTTTTGATTTGATATTATCTTTTGGCTGTCGTATGATGAGTTCATCTACCTAAACACGAAACAATTTAACCAATAAGACTTTGTTTGTTTTCGTTAAGATAAAAGATGTTTGAATCTGAATATACATTTAAATATTAAGATTTGAGTATCTTGATTTGAATATTGTTTTTTTTCAATATCTAAATGTGGAAGTGAAATTGAATGTTATATTATAAAATTTTTATTTCAATAATATATATCACTTTTGATCAAAAAGAAAGTTTTAAAAGTTTTAATAATCATGATTTGGAGTACTATTTTTTCATTCAAAACCTTGATAAACAACAATATACCAAAAATATTATTGCAAGCAGTGTTCTTGACACACGTCAATATAAGAAAATTATTAATATAAAAAAAATACTTGAAAGGATTTATGAAAACTTACCTATTGAAAAAAAAAATGATGTTTGATGAGAAAAAATAGAAAGAAATTTTGAGTCTGAATGTTGTTAAGAGTCTCCTACAGATCTGATTTATTACGACTTCTTCAGAGCTACTAAGAGGTTTTTTTTAAAAATAAAACAAATAAACTTAATGAATTTAATATGAATAATTCAGATTTAGACTTAAACACTAAACGTACTTAATGGGCTGAATCTAAATGATTAAGATTCATACATCCATTAACTGCAAACAAATAAGGTCTAAATCACATTGAGAAGTCTTTATGAAAATATCGTGAATTATTCTAACATATAATTACGAATAAAAAGTGAAAAATAAAAGATAATGCTAAATTTTAATAAAATTTAAGTATGTCTAATTATTTGGATCCTAATAAAAAGCTCAAAAACTCATTACCAATCATTTTTAAGGAGAGACAAAGTTGAAATTTAAAATTGAATCATAATTTTAAAACTTAAAATGGAATACGTAATAATAACTAAGTATATCCTCTTGTTCAAGCGGTGGTTTTAAGAAGAAAAAAGAGGTAAAGACTTAGAAAAGAGATACTGAAATACTATTTAATAAATATTCTCAGTTTATTTTTACTTTGTTACTTATTTTAAATTAAATTTTAATTTATTTCGTATCTTCAATTTATCCTCATCATCAAATAGTTATTTTTTAAATTATTTTTTTAAAATATAATTTAGATACAATATACAATCATGATCTATTGTGATCTTTGATTTTGATCATGTATAAATAAGCACTTAATTTATATAAAATTTAATAAATCGACATAAGTGTTCATATGACACGATATACGTAGAGTGCCATACAGAATTTGAAATTATCATATAAAATATTTGTATATGACGAATATATTCATTTATTCAATTTAATACAAATTTAAATGTCTGTCGTGCACATTTAAAATTAAAATTCATAATAATCGACTAATGTTATGTTAAAGAATCTATGTATTACTATAATTCAATAGGAGATAATGTTATTAGATATCTATATTATTATTAATTATTTTTTTAGAGAGGAAAATAAGAAAGTAAATTGACAAGATATTTTTCATGAATACATTAGGTCACTTCTTTCGTCATGAAAATACATTAAATTTTTATCAGACGTAATAAATTTTTCCAAGTTCCAAAAAAAGAAGAAAAAATGTATACAATCTCCATTTCTCAAAAGCCTATAAATCAACCCACTCAAAAATTAAACCTAGCTCAATAATCTTCCAAATCCAAAAAAAAAAAAAAGTTTATTAAAAAAAAATGACAAAATTTCAAAAATTCCATGAAGAATGGCATGGACATCTTCGTGAATTAGTACAACAAATGAGCAAATTACCAAAATTTTGTACTACAAATCAAGATGAACAAAACACAAAATTATTAATCCAAAAAGTGATTTCACATATTAATGAATACTATAGAGTAAAGTCATTAGCAGCCAAAAATGATATACTTTATATTTTTAGTGCACCATGGTCTAATTCTCTTGAGAGGTCTTTGTATTGGATTGCTGGTTGGAGACCTACTACTGCTTTTCATATTATATATTCCGAATGCGGAATTCAATTAGAATCTCACATAACTAATATTCTCAATGGATTTCGTAATGGTGATCTTGCAGACTTATCTCCAGATCAGTTAACTCGATTTAGTGAACTTCAATGTGAAACTATTCAACAAGAAAATAATATCACCGAACAACTCTCCAATTGGCAGGTAAGCACTTCAATTTGTTCATTTTTAACTTGATACTTTATTAGGTTGAGTGATAAATGATAATCATTTTTTACATAGTTAATAACGATGATATTTTGATTTTGAAAATATAAAAAAGAAATAATTGATCGTGACTGTTCAAAAAGTTCGTGTCTTTTTCAAAAGGTTATAGTTATCTTTTTTTCTCAAAAGAGAGTGATTTTACCTTTTGTCTACTAAAAATTAGAAAGACTCATTTTTCTTCATTTTTTTACATTTCAAACAAAATCGATTATGGTGATTTTGTGTGTGATTTTGAATTTATTGATATTATTGAAGTTTGAGGTATTACTATTTATTTAATGGTTGATTCGTTTTATCTAGAAAGGGTCATTTTTAAGTTTGTTGATATTATTAAAGTTTAAGGTATTGCTATTTTTATAATAGTTAATCCGTTTTATCCTGAAAGGAAGTAATCTACAATCTCAGATATTTGAGGTGGTTAAATTTCTTAAGGATACTCAATAAGTTACATAGAGTACTCAAATTATTTATTATATCTGATTTGCTAATCTAAATATCGAATGTAATTTATTTTTTTTTGGGAACTCGTAGGATAGTGTTAATGATATAATTGAAAACATAGACAAGAAGATGGAAACACTTTTAGGAATATTGAAAAGAGCAGATGAAGTGAGGCTCAACACACTTCACAACTTGGTGCACCTCTTAACACCACAACAACTCCTTGAGTTTTTTATTGCAGCATCAAACTTGCTTTTCGAGATCCGTAGCTGGGGAATCAATTACGATAATCAACGAGTCAAAGAATTGGACGTATCTGTATTGAAGTTCTGATTAATTTAAATTTTTTTTTTAAAAATAATTTGTAGTTTAACGTGAACTTTTGATAATTGTAGTCTTAGTAGTGTTGCTTTTTAGTTTCTACCATATTATTATTAAAATTAAAATTAGAGGGAAATATTTGGTGAGTCGGTTTAAGTTGCATGCCTTTTTTCAAAACCTTTTATGTATGCAATACTTGTCAAATCAATAATGAATTACCTCATCGGTTTAATATTATTTGTTATGTTACGTTTTTTAAAAGTGAATATAACTAACTTTTTTAAAATTAAATTAGATTATATTAATTTGGTATTTTAAATAAAAAATTAAATATTTTAAAATTATATAAAAATTATTTTGCTTATTAATATTGATGAAACCAGCAATGTAAGCTGGAAAGTATCTCATTCCTCCATTAATAGAGGTTGAGTTCTTGACAGTAGAATGAAATGAAGGAGAAAAAGAAGGTGTCTTTTAATTTGGAATGCTCAATCTTAATCAGTGCATTGTGTGTATATATACACATCAATGAGGAGTTAACAGATTAACAAATCAACAAAGTGCAGAACATGTGAATACTAACTAACTATAACCAACTATAACTAACTATAGATGAATAGTACTAACTAACTAACTAATTGATAACTAACTCATACTAATTAAGCTAGTTTTATCAAATATGATGAAAATATACATCTTAAAATGTTTATCTCAATTTTCATAATTTAACTTTAAAAATAGAAATTATGATAAATAATATCAGACGAAGAGAGTACTTCGGAGTGAAGTCACAATGTACTCTCGTTTAATTTTAGTTTGAAGATAAGTTATGATAAATATTAAATACATGTGTATTTGATATCATTGAACTTAGTTTGAAGACAAGTTAGATAAATACTTTCTTTGTTCGGAATTGTTTGTCATGATTTTTTTTTTTAAAGTTAAACTATAAAATTTTTGACTAACATTTTAAGATATATTTTTTCATTATATTAACATGCAAAAAATTGTAATTTATAGTATTTTTCATGTAGTTTTAGAATATTTAATTTTTTAATTTAAAATATCAAATTAGCATAATTTAATATATCTTTAAAAATTAATTAAATTAACTTTGATAAACGCAGTATAACAAATAATTTTAAACAAAGAAAATATTAAATACATGCATATTTGATATCAGAGGTGAACTCAAATGGAGATAATTAATGCACTATCAATGATTATAGAAGCATTAATTAAAGCATGTTGATTTGATAATTTTGTTAAGCCAAAATATAAAAATTAATATATAAATTATAATATATAAATATATTAAATGATTTTACTAGATAAATTTTATTAGTGGAGCGATCATTTTGAACTTCATTTCGCCCCTAATTTAATTTTATATTTTTAAGCTTCATGGATAAAATTAAAAAAGAACACAAAAAAGGGTAGCAAATAAGATTCAAACCTAGATATCTATGATTTTTTTTTTATGTTAACGGGTGTGCATGCACTTGTATGGGGACATGTAATATTTTTATTTGATATGTTTCATATATATCTGACGTATTAGATATATTGGAGAGTGATGAGTAAATTCGTTTATAATTTTCATATACAAGTCAATTTACTTGGATATAATATATTTAGAATAAGCTATATTTAATTTTAACTACGTACATCTCAATATCTATATATTTTAATTTATTTGAACACACTATAATTTGATAAAGTTTATAATATAAATTAAAATATATTCAAATAATTAGCTCATAATTAATTAGTAGGATTTATGTTTTTTTTAAGGCTCATATATATCCGGTAGGGGTGTGTAAAAATCGAACGGATCAATAAACCGAACCGATAAAATGTTATTGGGTAATTGGGTTATTGAATTTTTAATGGATTTAAAAATAATAATTATTGGTTATTGGGTCGGTTTTGGTTTTTCCTATTGGGTTATTGGTAAACCGATAACCCAATAAGACGATAGTTATTTACTACTTTACCCTTCCTCAATATTAAATATACATAATTTAATATATAAATAGATTCAATATTAGCTTTTCAGGCTATGTGATTTTTTGGTTAGGAAATTGGTGAGAACTTTGTTGATTATCTGGTGGAGCAAGCAACTGTTCAAGATTGTCTCATTGAAATATTTTATTTTAGTTTTAATTCTAGTTCGTAATTGTAGGCGATAGCTTTTGCAAGTTTGTGAATGTTAGTAATTTGATCAACATTCAAAGTTTTCTATTATGTTTTGGCGGTAAGTTGGTAACATGTAATTATAACATACGTACTATTATATATTATTTGATCGACATTTTCTTATTGAGTTAACCGAAATCGAACCGACAACATCAAAAATCGATAAATCGATAATTTTTTTTTATTGATTTATTATTGGGTTAGCATATTTTAAAACCGAAAACCGATAAACCGAACAGATTATATGTAAAACCGAACCGAACCGACGATGCACACCCCTAATACCCGGGCTATATTCATACAAAAAGAATTTTACAAGAAATGATGAGGCTTGGGGAAAATATGAGTATGACGATGAAAATAAAATAAAAATAACTTTTAGTGGTAATCATATTAATAGAGAATTTTAGAGTTCGTTTGAAAAGGCAAAAATAAGGAAATAGTTTTTAACTCAAAAATAAAAAATCAATTTGAAATGATTTTTAAGTTAAAAAATAAAAAGTAAGGAAGATCTACTTTTGATTTTGACGTATTTTAAATTACTTTTTATTTTGCTAAATGCTTTGTAACTTATTTTAAGTTATTTTTTATATTTGTCAAACATTTTCAGAAGTTAAAAACTTATTAATTTTTAAACCAATCCAAATAAGTTCTTAAAGTCATTATTGATATCAGTTTTAAAATACAGAAATTACTAATTGTTATTAAAAATACATACTTAACGATAATAAAATTATTGATGTTAATCAATTGCCGCTCAAGATCGTTTTTACGAGTGGATTAAAATGTATTATTTTTTTTTAAAAAAAAGGAAGAGTAAATTAATAAAGAAGTTGGTTTTGTTATATTTTGATTTTGTACCTGGTTTGATTGGATTGAGTTGATTTATAGGCCTTCTAATTTTGGCAGCTAGCATAGAAAATAATCTTTATTTTTGAAAGAAAATGTAAAGTCATCTTTATATTTTTTCAATGGACCTTAATAGTTCATAATTTAGTGTATAAGTTGTCTTTTTTATACGTCTAAATATAATTGCAGGTAAATTAAGAGTTTATTTTATTTACTTTTTTTTAAAAAAATATGTACTATCAATTATTATTGATAATGAACTTATCAAGAAAATAAATGGTCAAATTTAACCGCGGTCTTCTAAAATTGTCACTAATTTTTATTGAGACGTCTTAATTAGGCGATGTTCATGTTAGATACCTCATGTAGGGTTCTGTTGTGTCATTTTGATACTTTTTGTTCACATGTCAAAGTGAGTGTGATATACTCAATAATAGCGCGTGAAAGGCATTTTTAATTTTATTTTCTCATCTTCTTCTCCGTTTTTCAAGCCACCAATTCTTTTTTTTCAAGCTTAAATTCCTTCAATTGAGATCAAATTTTTTATTCAAATTCGTTTTTAAGTCATTTTCTTTTTTTCATTGTATTACTTATCTAAATCTACCATCACCTCCCTTTATTTTTTGCCGAAAAAATGAATATCGACATCCATATTTCATATTTATTCTCCCCTTCTTTCTTCCACTCCCTCTTTTCTTTCCAAAAACAATACTAAAAAGAAAGATGAATAAATATGAAAAAAAAGAATATTTTTTTTAAAAAAAAAGCACAAAAGAGATTTTGAGTGTAATAAAATAAGAGATTTTCTTAGAATAATATTTTTTATTTATTTACTAAATAGATTTTACGATTATTTTTAACTGAAAAATAACACATGTAATTATTTAATTGATCGTTTATCATGTCGTCAATGAATGTGTTAAACTCTCCTTTAATTTTTTGTTTATTATCATAAAAGTGTCAAAATGACACAATAGAATTCTTAATGAATTGTCTAAAATAAATATCACCTAATTAAAGTGTCTAAATAAAAATTAATATCTGATTTAGAAGATCACCGATAGATTTTGACCAAAATAAATTGATATGGCTCTACACATAAGTTATGATGCAATAAACTTCTCAATTTCAGAAAAGGAAAATAAGGGTGAAATCAAAACTGTATAATATAAAGGAAAACTAGTTAGTATTTTATTTGAAAATAAAAATAAAAATCTTTATATTTAGACTCAAAAAGGATAAGGGGCTATTTAAAGCTAGTGTATTATGTGGATGATTCTTGAAAAGTGGCACCTTTTAGATATTGTTTGGAACTTGAAAGATTTATTATAATTTATAACGTATGATATAATGTCTTTACATGAAAAAGTGACCTAACTAAACTTTTACGAAAAAAATACACCATGAGAAAACGTAAGGATTTAGTAATAATCAAGATCCATTTTATGATTTCGATTTGATCGTATGAAATATTATATTCTTAGTAAATAATAGGAGAGATTTAATATATTATGTTTTTCATAAATTTATGAATTAAAATTAAAAAAAAATAAGCAGTATTGTATTGTATTAATATTGAGTTTAGTGTAGTAATGAATGAGAGAATTGAAACAAAGAATCATATCTTAAGTCTTCTACTATATTTAATATAGACAGAAGAGAACAGATATATATGTTGAAGGAATGTATTCTTTTGTGGAGATTGAACACTTCAACTAATTCAGGGTTGTTTAGATTGTACGACACTGTTTGGTTATTGTAGGTGTGTCAAATGGGCGGTTGGGTTGAAATTGAAAATATTATAATGGGTTGAATAGAAATCGGGTTGGGTCTTGACCCGCCCAAGTTTGCTTTGTGCTCAAATGGGCTAAAGAACGGGATGGGTCTTGAACCGCCTAATTTGACCCGATTAATCTCAATAATTTAACATATTGATATTTAACTTTTATAATCACAATTTTGAATTTCCGCTCAAAAATTTTTTATTAAAAAATTAACAAATGGATAGATAAATCCTAAAAGATGTTAAATAGATAATTATTCATACGTTCAATATAAGAACACATCTTAATAAAAAGTTTTAAAACGGGTTGAAATTAGAGAATGAATTGGGCTCAATTGAGAATTCTCTTCAAATGGATTAAGCTTGAATAGGTTGA